GATAACTATGATCCACCTTTCAATAAACATTTTATTTTCTTTCCATTTTTACAGTGTATCAGTGCGCCAAATATCATAAGTTTGTGAGTTTACCCATGCTTCAAAGACTAAGAAAAATAATTTTAAAAATTTCAATTTCATTTCCCAATAAAATGATTGTTTGATGGCATTGTACCAGCATTATAGTGGTATTTTCACCCTTCCTCCCCATTCTCATGCATTAATGATTATTTGAAAGCAAGGGCATTTTGCTTAATGAGAAGTAGCTTATTAGGAAGATTTAAATTAACTCTACAAAGTTTGGCATATATCTGCTATTAGTTTTACTAACAATCATTAAAGCGTGTCTTCTCATGAAGGTACAGTTGTGCTATTCCATTGAAATTCAGAGATATACTCAATGCTACAAAACATAATTAAAATCACTGTAAGGGGATATTTTGTGATACCTGACAGCGTAAGCAAAAAAAAAAAATTGAAAATGTATGTAAAGATGATTAGCACTTTGCTTATCACTATTTAGTATTAATGTTATCCACTTTAAAGTCTTACATACAAAAAGAAAGATTTTTTCATGTATATTTAGATATAAGCATGTATTTTTATAAAATTAACTGACCCAAATAAAATAGAAAGGAAGATGAAGGCATCACAGATTTCAAGGTAAAATAAGGCTGGATATATAGCCTGAAACTGTATTATAAAGGTCTTAATGCTTGGCTGAGGAGGATTTATTTTATTCTAGAGGCAACAGGGGTTTTTTTAGGTCCCTGAAAGTTTTTGATCAGCGGAGCAACATTATATCAAGTCAGATGGATATCATTATGGGAACTCTGTTTTCACAGTCACATATCCTGCCTTAAGTCACAGGTGACTCAAAAATTCATGTCGTGGATTACAAAGAGAGCCAAAAAATATATATATAAAGAGAAAAGACTTCATTCAAACCTATCACCACTACTCAAAAACCAGCTTAAAATAGATGCCCTATTGATGCTTGGTTATTAATGTCACCTTAATGTACAGAGGGCTGCACACATGTATTTAAACATGATTAGGTATATTTCTATTTGTATGCTATTTCAAAAGAAATCTTTTTTTTTTCTATTTCAACAGAAGCAAAACCATTCTTGACAAATGTCCATATTTGTCAATATTGGCCCTTCACTGGTATCCACAGCAAATCAATGGACACAAGTTTGAAGGAAAAGAGGGGGATTATATACAAGTTCCTGAACGATTATTGGATGTCCCAGATGCAAGTCTTATGGCTGGTGAAAAAAAATGCAAATTAGTTCAGTTTACAGAATATAGCAGCCAACAGTGGTTTATAACTGGTAACAGTGTTCTGGCCCTAAACAACAAGGTAGTTTTTCATTTCAAAGTAATTTCTTGTTCTCATGGCATCCATGTTTGTTCCTCTGTTAACCTCGGTAACCTCAGCTGACTTATTTTTTTCACCACTGTGATGTATGTCCTGAAGTCTCTGGTCCTCACGGAAATACCAAGCATCATGATCTACTTATTAAGAATGTCCTCTTTCTGTAGATAATATTCAAGATTTTACAGTTGAAATAAGTTCAGACATATGTAAAATATTTGCTTGAGCTTTTGAAAATTGGAATTCTAGTAAGTGATGATAAAAGAAAGTAACTGAATTTCAGGCAATCCCAAGTGCTTAATGCCAAAAGACAGTGAAGCCAGTAAGTAAAATCCAAAGAAAGAGGGCCCAGATGAGTGGAATTTTGAGCAGTCCTTGATCTCATGTATTAATATGAAATAAAATGGAGTTATGTAGCAATAAGTGAGAAGCAGGTAGGGGCATTTTATTTGTAAGAGGCCTAAGAATAATTGAATAGGGGAAAATGATAAAAATGAAGCAATGATCTGAACTGAGGATGGGGGGGGCAATTTTGGTGATAATTTTAACTGGAAAACTTCAGTGAAGTTTTACCATGATTATTTTTGAAATTTTTTTATTAAAAATATTTTTTACTGTTACAGGTTTTATCTTTGAGTGTGAAGGGTCAGAGTTCATATCCACTGACAGACAACAATGAGGTCCTTTATCGGATTTATGCTACAGAACACCGGCTTGTTCCCCAAAAGTCCTTGTGCCTCCTTTGGAATCAGGCTGCTGCAAGGTACTTTTGTGTGATTGTGGCTTTTGTTTTCTAGGGGACCATCATTACTTGAGCTAGATTTGAATATAATTTTCTGTTACTTCTGGTTAACTCTATGGATGGGTGAGTGTGAACAGGTAGAGAATGCTGTGATGTTAGATGGGAAGGCACATGCAGTCACAAAGTCATTAAATAATATGGCTGATATTCCTTTTCCTTCCCTACTTCCTTCTTTCCATCCTTCCTTCTTTCTTCCCTTTCTCCCTTTCTTCCCTTTTACCTTCCTCTCTCCTTTCCTTCTTCCTTCCTTCTTCCCTCCCTCTCTCCTCTTTTCCTACATCCCTTCCTTCTTTCCTCTCTCTTCTCCTTTGCTTTCTCATTCTTTTCTTCCCTCCCTTCCTTCCTTCTTCTCCTCCTCCCTCCCTCCCTTTCTCATTCCCTTCCTTTCTTTCTTCACTCCTCCTTCCCTCCTTTCTTTCCTCTCTTTCTCTCTCCCTCTCCTCCTTACTTTTCCCCTTCCTTCCTTCTTTCCTTTCTCCATTCCTTTCTTCCTTCTTTCCTTCCTTCCTTCCTCTCTCCCTCCCTCATGAAATTTTAGAAAGTCAACAACCTAGGTTGGTAGAATCCACCTTAATCACATTATGACCTGATCTGCAAAGTTGGAAAAGGATTCCTTCTTTCTCTGCCTTCCAGTCTGGCCATAGGACCCACTACTGCTTTGTGGCCAACTATGGAAAGCCCTCTGATAGAGTCACTTGTGGCAAGAAGAAAGAATATCCACTGTTCAGGTCTTGACTGTGCTGTTTGTTTGTTATGTCAGCTTGGGCAAGCTACTTGGTTTCTCTTTGCTTGAGTCCTTGTCTGTAAAATGAGGCTGCTTCCATTGTCTACTATACAGGGTTATTGTGAAGACCAAAAGCTCTATCAAAAGGTTTTAACTATTCTTATATTTCCAGTCCCTTAATAACCTGGTATAAAATCTCAAGACTGAATCCTTATTTAGTCTAGGGAAGGGCCTCAAGTTTCTGTTCCAATATTGGTACAGAAATTTAGTGCATTAATATGTCACTTAATAAGTACTTATTAGATTGGATTGAAAAGTGAGTTAAAAATGCTGAAATTATTGCATTCATAGGATCATAGACTAGGGAACTTAGAAGTCATTTAGTTCAACCTTCTCATTTAACAAATGAGGAAACTGAGGCCCCAGAAGTGAAATGACATGATCATGGTAACATTAAATGTGAGTGTTCAGGTCAAAGTATTAGTTGCAGTCTGTCCTTAAATCTGAATGTGAGATTATGATGTAATATTAAAGTGGTTAAGTAATTGATAAAGAAATTCAGGAGTAGGTAGCTGGAACTTTGGAACTGTGAAGTAGATTGACCTTCCATAGTTCTAATATTATTGGCTTCTCATGGTTGGATGGTTGAATTGAGGTTCATGATTTATAATTTTTGATCTCAGTAGTGTTGCTTGATGTTCTGACTTTAATCAGTATCTCAAGTTTGTCTTTGAAATTAGAGGTTAAGAATCTTCTGCCCTTGGAGATTTTTTTCTTAGAAATTAGGGGGAAACATGAAATAGATTCCAGGCTTCTTTACTCTCAGAATATTTTCAATTCTGAAGTCATTTCTAAGTAAAATGTTTAGCACAGTGTCTGTACATAGTAGGCATTTAATAAATGCTTGTTCCTTTCCTCAAACTTTTCTCTTTCCTATCTATATATATTTCTCATATCTCTCTCCTCCTTCTTAGCCCTCTCTCCATCCCTCTCCACTAATTTGACAATTATGCTTTCTTTCATCTAATTCATTGTTGACACTATTGAATGTTCAAAACTAGTGAATTTTGAATAAATCAGGGCCACGAATGGAATCCTGCCTCATGTCAATAGAGCCTTGCTACTGTTATGTTAGTGATTTCCTCTGTGATTATTACAATACACTAAACAAACAAAAAACTTTTTAAAAATAAAAGAAAGAATGGAAAACACAAAACACTGAAAAGAGACTGGCCAATGACATTACATAAGACTGCTCAAAAAATTTCCTCTGTGATTATTACAATACACTAAACAAACAAAAAACTTTTTAAAAATAAAAGAAAGAATGGAAAACACAAAACACTGAAAAGAGACTGGCCAATGGCATTACATAAGACTGCTCAAAAAAAGTGGCTATACTTCTTTGATGGGCTGTATTGGCTATAATCTTGGTGAAATGTATTTAGCTCATAGATCAGACCACGTAAAAGACATAAGCCCTGGGAAGAACTTGAAGAGATTCATGGTTCAAAAATAAATATATGAGGTGTAGTTTTTTTTCTATTTTTCCCCTAGTGGCGGGGTGATTAATACAGCCCTCTACAACTACAACTAATACAACTACAACTATGATTGCTGTGTAGGCTTGTTTATTTTACACAGGTAAAGCTGGTGTATCTTACTATTAATGTTAAATGTTGATTGTACTTTTATTTTGATTGTCTTTCAAAAAGTGTGATTATAGAAATTCTCCTGTAAAATGCACAGTACTCCTTTAGGTTTGGTTAGCCTCACAGGCCACTTTTCCAGGCTAATTGTATAGTTCACACTCAGGCAGGTATTTGCTTCTTGTCCTGTACAAGCTATTCTTCTTAACCATGAGGTTTACTTAAGGATTGACTAAAGAACAAAAGTTCGACAAATAGTTTTACTCTGCAATTCTTCTCAATTCCTTAAGTGCACCAATGAAACAAAAATGGTAATTTTCATTGTTGTTTTTGTTCTAGCTGGTTGTCCGATAGTCAGTTTTGCAAAGTGGTTGATGTCACTTCAGACTATGTGGAATGTGCCTGTTCACACATGTCGACATATGCCGTCTACGCCCAGACAGATAGCTTGTCCTCATACAATGAGGCTTTTTTCTCTTCTGGATTTATTTGCATCTCAGGTCAGTTGATTGGTTCTTAAGGTTAATCATGGTAAGAAAAGTAAAAGTATCACCTATTTTAAAATTGTACATATGTGATAAAGAACATTAACTGTTAACTATTAATGAATACTTCTCATGCTATAAGTTTTTATTGGAATATGATCAGTGCTGGAAAAGTACAAAACAAAATACTATGTAAGGTTTTGAAAACCAATTATTAGTTGCTTTTAAAGGAAACCATCTTCATTTTATGTTTAAACATTTTACCTGACATCCTAGACATGGGGTCCTAAAGGGATATTTTTTCAAAGAAAAGGGTCTTATTAAGACCTGATGATTATTTTAATTTGTTGCCTGCAGCCAAAATGAAGAAAACCTGACTTAACACATTTTGTTGGTCCTGTGAATGGAAGACACTAGCAATATATTGGAACCACAAAACAAATTTCACAGCAAAGAGAGTGAACATCTTAAAAATATTAGTTCGTTTTGAAACAGAAAGAAAACCAAAAATATTTTTGTTTTTTTAAGAAGAAAAAAGTAATAGAAAAAATAAGTCCCAAAGAGAAAATTAAAAGTCAGAAATTAGAAAGCTTTTTTCCCATTGAAAACCATTTTCTTCAAAAAATATACTTTTTATATAAATTAATTTCATAAAGGTATTTTTAGAGAGAAGTATGAATATTCTATTAATCTACATTTTAAATTAGGAACAAGAAACAAAATTTTGCTTAATAAATACAATACATATTTTTAAAAATATGAATCTTTAGTATGTCATAATTAACTTTTATTCCTAAAAAGGAGAGAAAAAGAAGGAAGGGAAACAAGGATTAAGGAGAAGAGGAATAGCTATGATGGTCTGGGAGTATAAGGAGAGAGATGGAGAGATAGAGACATAGAAAAATAGACACAGAAACAGAAAGTACAAAGAAGAGAGAGACAGAAATATGGAAAGACAGACACAAAAATAGCACAAGAAGAAATGCATGGAACAATACACACATAGAAAAAGATGCAGAAAGCCACAGAGAGAGCCACCTAGCCCCAGAAGGACAAATATACAGACTGACAAACAGACACACACACATACACACACAGATATAGAAAAGGGAACATGGAAGCTCACATGCAGTCAAACACACATGACACTATTGACTAGACTTGTATAGAAATAGACTTTTATAGAATTGTTATCATTTTTTTTCTTTTGCCTAGGCAATGGGGTTAAGTGACTTGCCCAGGGTCACACAGCTAGTAAATGTTATGTGTCTGAGGCCACATTTGAACTCAGGTCCTCCTGAATTCAGGGCTAGTGCTCTATCTACTGCATCACCTAGCTGTCCCCAGAATTATTTATCAGCTTTTAGGAAAGCTCATGTAAGACTGTTATAATTTTGCATTTCCACATATGTACATATATATAAAATTCAAATATATATGTATGAGAAAATATGTCTGCATGTGAGATATGGTTTTGTGTGTACTTGTCTATGCATACATATAAATAAATAAATAAATAAATATGAATTCATACATGTGCACACATATATACCTATATGTATATATATGCATATGTGCATGCATGCATTGTATATGTATATATATAAAAACTGCCTCCTGATACTTGTCTTCAGGTCAGATAAAACTAATTAAGCCAAGGACTGAATTAAGGGACCTGGCCCACCTCTGTTGTGGAAGATAAAGAAATTCATGAACCTTGTACTCCACACAACTTTCCCTTGATATTCCACATGCATTCTACCTTTCTGCTTTTGTTCGCATAATTAACTCTACCTAGAATACCTCAATGCATCCTCACCATTTGTCTATGTCTAACCAAGCTTTCAAGGCTCAAGTCAAAGTCTCATCTTTTCCCTGAAGCCTTTCACTGTCCTAGCCAATGATTTCTGTGACTCTTATTAGCTTTTTCACTGATTTCTGATGTATTGTGAGCAAATAGCAGTTTTTATTATTTGTCTTTTTGTGTATTTTTGGTCTCCCTAACTAGATTATAGTCCCCTTAAAAACAAAAACTTGTAGTCTTAGTACTCCCAGAGCCTAGTGCCCCATACCTGCAAGTACCCATTACCTGCCTTGAGTTGTTGACGACAGCCACCCTCTCTGTTTGAGGACCTGCATGCTACAAATGTAATCTGTATTGTCCTCCAAAGTCATTGAAGTTCAGTGTTGAGGGGGTGGAACTGTGAATAAATGTAAAAGAAATAAAAATATGCATCTATAAGAAAGCATGATTAGGCTTACCATATTATGGCAGATAGAGAAAATATTTCCTCATTCATAGTCAACACCACTAAGTATTGAAGTCATTCAATTTACTAGATGTAAAGCCCTTTACACAGAGCACTTTGGCTCTGTATGTAGCACAAGTATTTCACTACTCAGGAGCAAAGTCATTGTTCAGTTATTGATATTATTTAGTTAAGAAAATGACAATAGTCTTCTGCATCTCACTTTTTTACTTATCCTATTAGTGATTATAGACATAGGCTTAGAATTAGAGGTACTCCTGTGTACTTCTGAATTTTGTCAGAAAGCAGTAGTCACACATCAAGTTTTATGAGATCTGTTATCTGTTATTCTGATCTAGCTTTATTGAGAGACTGTCCACCTGGGCCCATAGGGTTGAGGTACTCTGCAGACTCATTGTTCAGTACCCAGCCACATGATTGGACTTGGATCAGACTTAGGGAATCCTGCCTCTAATGAGAGGAGGCTTTCTTTTTTCACACTCTTCACATATACCAGTGCCATAGAGATGATTTTATTTCTGGCTCATATCTGAGGCTTTCCCTCTCCCCACTGAAAAAAAGGAGGAGTAAAAAGGTACTCAATACAAAATATGAATAAGGCCAGGTACCACTAAACACAGAACATGCCTAAACATGCATTTGACGACAAACAAACACACTTAAAACAGGATTCAGTAACTCATCTACTGTTACAGTCTTTTAGAGTCAGATGCTCAGACTTCATCAGAACACAAATTGTGGCATTGCTGATTGATTATTTTACAATTTCACCTTGCCTCTACACAGCCAACTCTACTCCAGACCCGAGCCTCCTATTATCTTTGATCTCAAACCATTTGGTCCTGTTTTTGCAAATAGCTGCTCCTGTCATTGGACCCAGTAACTAAGTACCTTTTGAAATCAAAAGGTGGCCTGAAAGCCTGGACATGTCCAACTTGAGAACTGTTTGTTCGTTTACTCAGGAAAGGAAACACAAAGCAGGAAAGACAGACAGGGGCCCAGGTGCAAGCTTGCTTGGTTGAGTCTGCCCATTCCTCCTACTTGCTCCTCTCTGTTACAGAGAGGACCACACAGAAGTCACAAATAAGAGGACCAGCCAGAAGCTTTCTCTTCTTTTAAAAGACAGAGTATCCTAACCCCATCCACACCCCTAGTTCATGCTACTTGTCCTGGGACAGAGGGAGGACCTAAGGATAACTCAGGGTTGACTGTCATACTAAAATGCCAAATCCCTTCAATTCTGGTCCATCACATGGCAGGAAACATCCAGGAAGTTCATTTCTTCTTCAGGGCCCAAGCAATGTTATTATGTGCTTAGAATTTCCATGAGTTTTCAGCAGAACTCATGGTCCCTGAAGTGGCTCCTGTAAGCCAATTTAGCCTTGAATACACTTCTCACTAGTGATTCAGTGTGTTCTGCCAAACACTGGACCATGGTCTTACTTGGTGCTTCAGAAGTTTTTGAGATTCTGTTCTAAGGATCTTTACATTTCACCTTCTAATTAATATTCACCTTCTATTATTAAATATGTAACAATATTTAGTGCTTGATCACATATACATGAACACATGCTTACATATATCACCTGCCTGCTATGTATTTTTCTGGGCACAAAACACGATTAATTTACTATCTTTTGCCATAATATCATTAAAATCTACTTTATAAGTAGTTACATTTTACTTAATAAAATGTTACAACATCTTATTTCTAAATCTATATTTAAATCCAATAACAAATATTGTCGGCCTTTCCCTCAGTAATATGTTACTTTGATTCTGTGACATTTTGCTTTCATGATAGTACATTTTGATAGCATGGGGGGAAGTATATAGGATGATGGATTAAAGGTAGATGGCTTGAGTGAGAAAGAGAGACAGAGAGGAAAGGAGGGAAAGGGTAAGGAGATAAAGAGGGATGAGAGAGAGGAAAAGAGAGAAAAATAAGAGAGAGGAAAAAGATAAAAAGGAGAGATGAAAAAGATAAGAGGGAGAGAGGAATGAGAAAAGAGGAGAGACAGAGAAAGAGAGAGAGAGATACCTTTGAGAAGGGTATGAAAACAAAACAAACATCATCAGGCCTACCTAGATGATGCACCTCTGTATTGGGAATACTGTGCAGAGTTGTGGTCACCATTTATGTAAGAAGTACATTGCTGGAAAAGATAAACTAATACAACTAAAGGGAGAAAAAGTTTGCTATATGAGAAATTTTCTGTTAAGAAAGATAAAGACTGGAAAAATATAAATAGACTCTAAAATCTTGAACTCTTTAATTAAATAATATTTATATAACAGAAATAAAGAGTACCTATCAAAACTTTGAAGAGGCAAAATGAATGTATAAAGGGAAAAGGGTTAATTTCTCTATATTGTTGTTCATTGGTTTCAGTTGTGTCCAACTCTTCGTGACCCTATTTGAGGTTTTCTTGGCAAAAATACTGGAGTGGTTTGCCATTTCCTTGTCCAGCTCATTTTACAGATGAAGAACTGAGGCAAAAAAGTTAAGTGACTTGCCCAAGGTCACATAGCTAGTAAGTGTCTGGGGCTAGATTTGAACTCGTGAAGATGAGTCTTCCTTTAGGCACAGCACTCTATCCAACTGAGCCTCCTAGTTGCCCCAGTTTTTCTGTATAAGAAGTAGTAAGAGTAGGGACATCATCACTCCCAGGATGATAAAAACTAAAACTATAAGTACAACTTTAAAAAGATTCAGATAAATCTATGAATTATAGATTCATGGTACTTAATCATATAAGTTAATAGGGGAAATTGGTATTCAATTCAGTAAGCATTTGATAATTGCCTACTAAATGCCTTTACATTGGGGATACAAATACAAAGTGAAAATTGATTTCTTCCTTTAAGGAACTTACATACTACTGAGGAGTTTATAATAGTTGAATAAGAAAGTACAAGCTAATTTGAGGAGGGAGAAACCATTATTGACCAGAATGATCACGTAAGGCTTTTTATAGGTTGTAGTACCTTAGTTGAGTCTGAAGGAAGCTGAGGAGACCAGAGGCAGAGAAGAAGAAGGAGTATAATAATAGCTCATATTTACATAGTATTTGAAGGTTAGCAAAACACTTCATAGAATTATCTCATTTCATCCTCACAGAACTTTTTGACATAAATGCTGTTAGTAATCCTATTTTATAGATGTGTCTTAAAGGTTAAGACTTGCCCAGGGTACAGAGCCAGTTAGTATCTATCTTGGAATCTGAACCCATGTCTTTCTGACTAGCACTTTAAACCAAAAAAGTAAGAAAACAAAGATACACCACTTTCTTCAGGGAGCTCACATTTTTGGTGGGAAGATAACATGCAGCTACGTAGGTTTATACAAAATCACATACAAATCAAATACAAGCAAACCTTGAGGAAGGGGAAGGCACTGACAGCTGCAGGGGAGGGGATGCGGGGTGGGAGGGTCTAGGAAAGGCCTTCTACAGTAAGTGATGCTTGAGGCTGAGTCTTGAAGGAAATGGGATTTCCAGAGGCAGGGAGTACAGTTAACTATATGCTATGATATGCCCTGTAGTGTGGTGTGCTGAGATCTGGATGGACACAAATACCTTTGTATTGAATCCCTGAACTTTACTTTTCTGAGCCTCAGTGTGGCCTTACTGGTTCTTATCTAATAGATGAGGTCTAGCCAGCTTAGTTATCTGGTTTCCCAGCCCATAGTAGATTAGAGGCAGCAACTAAAATGGCATTGTGCTTGGTAATGGTTATAGTCGTGCAGAAGGTTGTTAGGGGCAGACGTAATGACAACAGGAGCAGGGATGGCTGAGGCAACACGAGGAAACAGAAAAGCTACAGTAAAAAAACAAACTCTGAACTGTACTGCACCAGTTGATAAGGACTCTCATCCTGATGGCCCTGAGTCATCATGAAAAAGTTAGATTATGTCCAGCATATTGCTTTTAAGACAGTTCACTGTATGGTACATTTTAGAAAGAGTCATCAAAATATTTTTTAAAAAAATTTTTAAATAAAAAAGATAAGCTTTAGTTACAGAGATGTGAAAACCTGTTATGTAAAACAACTCATGTCTTTTGAGATGTGAGATAAATGAGGGATAACTGTGTGTATATACATACGTACATGTATATAGATATACAGACTTTCATTCATTCATTTCTGATTTCATAATTAGGGCTGACAATAGCAAAAGACTTTGCAGTTAGTGGCAATAATTTTTTCTCCTAAATTTAAGGTCATTTGTGTAACTTTTTGTAAAGACAAGTTAAATTGATTTAGTCCTTTCCTTTCAGTCTGGTAGTACTAAAAGTGTCATTCATCTATCAATAGTATATTATGTTCTGCACTAAATTAGACCATGTCTATCCAGCTCTAAAATGCATGAATACAGGAAAGATTGGTGCCATCATACTTAGAGTTCCTTGTGGTGTAACTCCCTCCACCAAAGCAGAATGAAGTCTATTTGTGACTTAAAAGATAAGTCCCAGTGGGGTAGCTAGGTGGTACAGTGCACAGAGCTCCAGCCTTGGAGTCAGGAGGACCCAAGTTCAAATCCAGCCTCAGACACATAACACTCACCAGCTGTGTGACCCTGAGCAAGTCACTGAACCCCGATTGCCTCACCAAAAAAACCCAAAAAAACAAAAAAAGACTTCATTTATCATGAATAAATAAACCAGTGATGATGTCTCATTTGCAAGAACTGGCATAAAAAGATATCAATTAGAAAATGTACAAATGGAAAATAAGGCTGGTCATGAAGTGAAGATACATGAGACAGACAGCCTAGATGTTTCACTGATACCCAGAAAGAGTTAAAAATGCTAAACAAAAGCTTTCATCACCTTGGAGATTATCTGTGAAGGATGTATAAAATCCTATTCTAGATTCAGAAGGCACGAGTGGGTTATTCTGTGACTCTGCAGGGAGCCACTGTACACATG